GTTAAAAACTGCCCCATGAGAGGTCTTGAGACTTTGATCCTGCTGTAGCCCACAGGTGGTCTGATGTACCAGACAGAGAAGGTGGCCCCTCAGCCCAACCCTCCCCTCAAATCAGGGGTCTGGAGAAGCAGGGGATCCCATTTTTGTTCCCAAGCACTGTCTGATTGCTTAGGATAGTTTGCACACTCCATGCACCTCTGTCCTCCCAGATCCCCATGGGGGCTCACCCCATCCCCCTTCCCGGCTCTCCCACCCCCCCACTTCCCAGGTGGGTGCCCTGGTAGGGTTCCCTCCCCAATACGGTGAAACCCCGTCTCTACTAAAAAATACAAAAAACTAGCCAGGCGAGGTGGCGGGCGCCTAAAGAAGTAGGTGGTCCTTCTGTAATTATCAAGTGTAATCCCCTCTTTGAACCCAATTCTTGTGAGCTTTCCAGTTGTGGGACTGGATTAATCAATGGCCATTGGAAAGGACCCTTCCTAGGTCAGCCCCTTAGAGATACCTGTACATACGTGAGAAGTTGGAAGAGTTACTCTCAGACACATTCTAACTCAAAGGTCCTCTAGAGTCTCTGCCTTCTGCCTTTTAGATGACACTTCTCAGCTAAAAACTTAGCCTGTGTCCTCCTGGCCATATCTAAAAATATTACATCAGCCCGGTCGCAATCCCACTTCTGACACCTCAAGAGAATGATTTCAGCCCTGCTTTTGGCCTCCTCTCCACAAGGAGGCACTGTGGCATATTTGAGTTGTGCAGAGACCTCAACTCTGCTATTGACCTGCAACATATTTCCCCTCTCTGGGCCTCAGTTTACTCATCTACAAGATGGGCAGCCTAATGCCTGCCTTGCCTATATAAATGGCTATGAGGCATGTGACAGGATAGATAAGAAAGGACTTGCACCAATGCCATTATGGGGTAACAATGACCACCGCTATCTCTGGACTAGGCACTAGGCTGAACCTTTACATATATTAACCAGGTCACATGAAGTAAATAAATCCCCCTTTGTCAAGAGGGCCTGAAAGATGTTCCTTCAAAAACTAAAAGGAAGGCTCAATTTAACATATAGCCAGTGCCAGCCCAAGCTTGATGTTTTGACAGCTCCTCCCCTCCCCTGCCCCTTTGTAAAATTTGGAGAGTCATGAGAGATCTATTTAAATCCCAGCTCTGTCATGGTCTTGAACTGTGGCCTTGGACAAGTCACCCTCCCTATGCTATGCCCCAGTCCCTTTGTCTGTAACTTGGGGGCTAATAGGATTGTCAGGAGTTTGGATGATGATACACAGCACATGCTTAGCACATAGTGAGAGCTCAGTAAACGTCAGATACCACGATCGTTGTTAGGATACCTGGGTCACAGCAGATGGTGAGGATTAGCTTCGGAATTCTTTAGGAATTCCTTAGAGGGTGCTGTAGTTGCCAGCTAGGTTAGGGTGGAGGGGCTCAAGGGTGGGATGTCAATGAAATAGAAATTTTGGCTGGGCGCGGTGGCTCAAGCCTGTAATCCCAGCACTTTGGGAGGCCGAGACGGGTGGATCACGAGGTCAGGAGATCGAGCCCATCCTGGCTAATACGGTGAAACCCCGTCTCTACTAAAAAATACAAAAAACTAGCCAGGCGAGGGTGGTGGGCGCCTGTAGTCCCAGCTACTCGGGAGGCTGAGGCAGGAGAATGGCGTAAACCCGGGAGGCGGAGCTTGCAGTGAGCTGAGATCCGGCCACTGCACTCCAGCCTGGGCAACAGAGCGAGACTCCGTCTCAAAAAAAAAAAAAAAAAAGAAATGTTTCCAGGGTTTGTCTCTGTCTTGCAGTGGAATGGAGGGAGGACAATTTGGCAGCTGCTTGCCCTCTGCTTTGCGTGAATACGGCATCACAAAAACTCTGGTCCTTTGAGTTGTGAGGGTGTGAAGAACTAGGGCTGGGCCTGGGCCCCTAGGGCTGAGACTCTGAGGAGCTTAGGGGTGCATTTAGGGAATCGAGGCAGGTGGGCAGAGGAGGAGCAGACCGCGGCTGAATGCTGGTGGCTGAAGCAGGAAGCCAGTAGGTCTCCAGCTTCCTGGGAGGAGCTGGGAGTGGAACCCCCTACCCCCAACTCCTTTCTCTATGCACGAATAGGGCTTTGGGAGTCTAAACCTCAGGAAAGAGTGGGGGAGAGGTCAGGAGGCTCAGAGCTCCTCCAGACAGGGAGTCCCTGGAAGGTTCTGTCTACTTCTTTGCCAAGTAGGGAAGATAGCTCATCCCCAGGGAAATTATTTCCATCAGGACTGGATGTTTAGTTAAAAACTGCCCCATGAGAGGTCTTGAGACTTTGATCCTGCTGTAGCCCACAGGTGGTCTGATGTACCAGACAGAGAAGGTGGCCCCTCAGCCCAACCCTCCCCTCAAATCAGGGGTCTGGAGAAGCAGGGGATCCCATTTTTGTTCCCAAGCACTGTCTGATTGCTTAGGATAGTTTGCACACTCCATGCACCTCTGTCCTCCCAGATCCCCATGGGGGCTCACCCCATCCCCCTTCCCGGCTCTCCCACCCCCCCACTTCCCAGGTGGGTGCCCTGGTAGGGTTCCCTCCCCCGCCCCCAGCGGCCCCCTCCCCTCCCAGGAAGGAAAGCAGGAAGGCTCTCTCTACCCCGTATTTACACTGACGCGATTTGACTCCATGCTGGAAGCGGCATTGCTCATCCGCATCGTAGGCTTGGCCCGGTGCCACTGTCGGGTACACAAAGTCCTGTCTCGGGGGCCGGTTGTTCAGGCAGAGCCCCAGGCCCGAGCTGCCTCGAGAGAAAAGCAACTGTCATGCTAGGTGGCTACAAGTCAAGAGCTCAGGAGCCCCGGCTGGATGGGGGTCCCAGGGAGCAGCCCTGATTTCTATCGTCTCCCATGCACCCTGCCCCACCATGGGTGTGACCCGCTCTGAGGGACACGCAGGTGCATCCTCACTCTAGAAAGCTGGTGATGTAGTCACGGCTGCAGGATGACCACACGAATGGGTTGGTCTTCATGGTAATGTGGGCAGCCATGAGCTTGGCTGGGTCCTGACCACGGGCCCCACAGCTGTTTCCCACGCCGTCATGGTTCATGCCGAATCTAGGGAAAGGGGTGTCGGCTCTGCCGGGCGCCGAGGGACCCGCCCAGCTCCTCCCGTCCTCCCCCTCCTGTGTGCCCCGGCCTCACGTGTGCCCGATCTCGTGGGCAATGGTGAACGCCGTGGCCAGGCCAATGTCCTCATTGACGCTGCAACTTCTCTCGCGCTCACACATTCCACCCACTGGGGCCAGGCCTGGGAAGATGGGCATGTGGGGATGGGACTGGGAGGCTCAGGATGGTGCTGGCTGGCCCCATCCACCTGCCAGGTCTCACCCCAGCCCACTGCCTTCATAGACGCCTGAAACCTACGGGGCTCGGATACCTAGTGTGCCGCAGGGTTTGTTCTTGTAGATGCAGATGTCATAGCTGTAAAAGGAGAAGGGGGCAGTGAAGGGGCTGGGCTGTCTCCCTAAGCCCTGCTGATGCCACCATGCCCAACTCTGGGGGTTGAGTCCTGCCTTGGAGGCGCCATCTGCCTCTCACCCGAAGCCGCATACAGGAGTGACTGACCATGAATGCACGCGTGCATGAGTGAGAGAATGAGTGAATGAGGGCATCAGTGCCCAAACAGCCCCAAACCTCCCTTACTCATTAGTCTTAAGCAGCCCCTCCCCATCCCTGACTCCCTCATGGGTGGCCCAAGCTTCCCTCCTCCTCCCGACCCCAGCAGAAGTGATCTCTGGACTCTCACGGTTCCCTGGACCACCTGTTTTCTCAGCCCCAGTCCTAGACCTCTCCTGTCCCCTCACCGTGTGATGAGCACTGCTGTGTCATGGTTAGCCACACCGTTCTCTGGAATGGCATTACCATGGCCGCTGTGGTTCACGATGGATTTCTGCCACTTACAAAAGCTGTCCAGGGACTTCCCGGCATGGTGGGTGATCTCCAGAGTGGGCTGGGGATGGACAGAGGGAAGTACGTGGGCGCCCACCACCCAGGGGACGGCAAGACCTGCTGGTGTGAAGGGGAAGGGGAAGGGGAAGGGGAGGCAGCCCCCCGCACCTGGTCCTCCGTGAGCAGGATGAGGCGAGTTACGAGGATGTTAACGGTGCTTCCCAGACTCGAGTCCTGGAAAAGTTTGGCAACCTGACCTCCAAGAAACAAGAGAGACCGAGTCTTAAGAGGAGCCCAGGGTAGAAAATGAAAAGCAAGAACAATGATAACAGCTTGCTTTCATCAGGTACTGACTGTGCGTCAGGTCTTAGGCTAAACCTGTTATTGGGTTTTTTTTGTTGTTGTTGTTACAGATGGGGGGGTCTTTGTATGTTGCTCAGGCTGGTCTTGAACTCCTGACCTCAAGTGATCCTCTGCCTGGCCTCCCATAGGGCCAGGATTACAGGGGTGAGCCACCACGCCTGGTCATGCATCAGTCTTTTCATGAATAGGTACTATTTGTTGTTGTTACTATTTGTTGTCGTTGCTGTTGTTTTTTGGGATGGAGTCTCGCTCTGTTGCCCAGGCTGGAGTGCTGTGGCGCCATCTCAGCTCACTGTAACGTCCGCCTCCCAGGTTCAAATAATTCTACTGCTTCAGCCTCCCAAATAGCTGGGACTACAGGGGCACACCACTATGCCCACTTAATTTTTTTTTTTTTTTTTTGA